TTCTTACATCCAATTCACTCATTTTTCTACTTTATCTATGAACCCCTTTGCTAATTTACAACAAAGCATATTCTAACGATGAAAAAACAGAGAAATTTAACGATTGTTAACGAATTTCAGGAATTAATTCGATTTCGAAATTCGAAAACTCTCGTAGATTGAAGGAAAGGCTTTTAAAATCAGCAACCCTTCTTTCGATTACTTTTCACTGATTCGTCCATTAAACGTGCAGAAAGAACAATTCATGACGGACGAGAAGAACGTGTAACAGGACGTGACCCCGCAATGAAGTGGGGTCGGAGGGGGTTGGAGGGTGCCAGGAAAGAAGGGAATTCGCTAGTTGTATACGTCATTGGCATTACTTTCGCATTGAGTAAGTACTTGACGACCTACTAACCGTCCTACGAAACGTGATCCTCATTAATTCTTTTGTATCCGTCGACGAGACATCTCGTTCACTTATTTTTTAATATTTAAAAGTGAATGTCGTTAAGAAAAAAAAAAAAAAAAAGAAAAAAAGAAAAAGAATTATTTTCTAAAGTTTAAGACATTTCACGTTTAATATTATTCATTTCTTATCTTGTGGCGCGATGTTGATAATGCATTATTCATAGAAGATATCTTGCGGTTTGTTTTTCAATATTTACAACCGAATATTATTTTATATATAAGAAAAAATGAAGAAAAAGAATAGTGACAATATTCTTATATTCTAGAATGTAACATATACATTATATTTTTCTTGAAAATACTAATCGTTCTTATGAATGCATGCTCTGACCTAACTCCTACTATTCTTACGTTTAAAGTACGCATTTACTAGATAACTTTATTTATAAATCCATTAGCAAATTCCAGACGAAAAGCACTATTTATTCCTTTTTCTTTTTTACTATTACAGAGCCACTAAAAATTTATTTTTAAAGATTCTACGAATGAGATATTTCGTAAATTCATTTTAATCTCGGATCTTTGATAAAATATCTCGCAACTGAACAGCAAAATACGCAAAACATCTAATATAAATAAATATGAAAGAGTTTGAAAATTATTAAAAGAATATTTCGGATTTTATATGCTCTCTTATCTCGTCAGGATTTGACACGAAAGATAAGCATTATTTCCATGTGTTGAATTTACGCTAAACAGTTTATCTCTGTTTAGAATGGAAATAAAATCTTTTTGGAAAAATACAGCAATTAAACTCGTAATATTCTCCAGATGAAGTTTTATTCGAAGCAAATGATCGTGATATATAGGTACCATGATGCGTAGACATCAATCATAAATATTTACATAGCATTCTCGCGATTTTTTATCTATCGGGTAAGCGAATCATTTGTAGTCGAATATAATCAACTTTTTCTCGATCGAAAGTGCAAAAGATCGATAACAGATATTATCGACGTCGTATTTCACAAGTGAAACACTGTCAATTGAGTCAAAGACACCACTTGTCTTCGAGACTGCGACGACTTTATATTTCGAACCAATTAAAGACGATTAAGATAGCTGCTGCAGCAATTGGTCGGCCAATCGCGGCGCAGTCTTTGCTGTACTGTGGCTTACGTCCCTTTTTTTTCTTTTTTCCTTTTTCTTAGTTCGTTAGTATATGAGTCAACACCGTTTAATCAAAAGTTTGCAGAGAATATCAACCGTTTCCCTGTACAGCTGCTCTCTCTTTCACTCTTCCGAGAAATTATCCAGGCAATTAGTGTTCTTTCTTTATCAAAGAGACCGTGTCCAAACAGTTGCAACGAGAGATAATGTTAATTTGATAAACTGATACCACTCTATGAAAGAATTATCACCTCGGTTGAGAAACAAAAGCAATTAGAATAACATCGAAAGGAATTCACAAGTTTGAAAAGAAAATTCCTGACCTGATATCGCTCTCTTTCCAAACGGAGCATGTTATAGTAAACGATAGTGCAAAATTATTGGACAATAATTCAAGGTCTTCGCGTCCACCCGATTGCATTTCCTTTGTCGTTCGTTTCTCCCATGTGACTCATTGCCGATGGAAATAACGTAACCTCTGAAAAGTACGGTAAAAAAAGAAAATAAAAAAGAAAAATAAAAAAAAAAAGAAGGAAAAAGAGCAACGCGACGATAACGAAGATATATTGCGTGCGATTCTGGTCGTTCGAGTCGCTTTTAAGATCGATCACCTTGAAAACGACTGGTAACGTAAATATCGCTTTCACGATTCTTAGAAACGCGACACAAGCTTCAAGGCGATGCTTGAATTAAAAACAGGTGCCTGTAATTTCATTAACTCTTGTTATACCTTGTTTACATATATGTATATAAATTATAACGTAAATATTATAACGTTAGAAGTTAACTCTACGATTATTATTTGAGAATTCAACTGGATGCTAATTTTCAGCCTCGAGCAATAATTAGAAAATATACTGGATGATGAAAGTGTTTTATATTTTTGGAGAACACGTGTAGTCGATGTATAAAGATATATTCGTGGTATTTTTACCTCGCGGATTCACGTTTTTGCGAAAAATAAATTCGCGCTTCTAATATCGAAGAAAATTAGTTTATTTTTATGTAAACTTTATATTTAACATTACACAACATTCATTTTATTACGATTTTTATATCATAAGATAATTCATATAGATTGTTTCGTAGTCAAAGTATCAACAATAGCATATCTCAATGATTAAGTTTCGCGCCATCTTAATAATATTTTTTATATTGAAGTGGGAGTAAGTAATGATTAATTTTAATTTTAATAACAAATTGAATTATTGATAAAAATTCGTAAAGATAAATAATTACGTAAATTAAATACAGTACAATACAATACATAAATTAAATAAAGATTAAATGTAAAAAGGAAAAAAGAAATAAGATTGTAATAATTTTATACATAAAACAAAATATTTTCATAATAAAAACAAGACGTGTATTAACAGATAATGAAATACTGACGCTTGTACCATGTAAATTAATGAGTATTGATCTTCTATGTAAATTTGTAGTAATCTCAGATATCGTTAGCTAAGCAAAAATTCTAATAATTTATCTTGCGTAATTTGCTGTTGCTTATCAAACGATTTTTCGCTCTTATTCCTTCTATACTGTGAAAAATTCTTGAACGAGGAAAGTTCGGCTTAAGCAGGAAGAATCTCATTATCGCGGGAGCCGGTACTGACTCACGTCGACAAGTCGAGAAATCTAAATTAACAACATTTTTCATGATTAAAGAAAGTTATTAAAGTTATTTCTGCATTCGAAATATTAGACGCCCAACTATACGAGAGAAACGTAACCGATGTTAAAATAACCACGATGACGGAACAGGAAAATTTGACAGCGTAGCCTAGGCGGTCGCCATGTTGGCTATTCCGATCAAGTCGAAGGGCCAGCCAGGGCCAATCGTCATAATGGTTTTCACGCTTATTCGAAATGGAAAATTACGAGTTATTGCGAAGAAATAATTTGTTATCGTACCTGGAGCTCCCTAACGGAGCCTACGGTTGCTTAAATTCCCGACTCGATATATCAGCTTTTCGTATCCACGAACAGCTCCTCACTCTCTCCCTCCTGCTGCGGCGGGCCTTCTTCCTAGCCTCGACTTCTCACATCGATGACTATGCACTTTCCTTTTCACACCTCTCCGTCTCGAACAACGTCGAGAAACAGAGCGAATGCACTCGGCGACGATGCCTTAATGACCGAAACAAGTCTGTTTCACTACGAGACTATCTCTCGCGACAACACCGCGACAGCCACTACTTTTTAAGGTTAACCGTCACTGCGTGAACTGTACCGACAAAGACGAGCACAACGTATACCGCGAGCAGTTATTACTAGTCGAATAATACGACGATCAGACAAATGTTTTCATGAATAAAAACTGTACGAAGCAAGCGGAGCTGCTGTTGCTGCTACTGCTGCTTCACGGCTCTGGCGGGCGGCAGGGCGGGGCTCCGTGCTTCGAGTTTGGTAGACCCCGTATTTCCCGAAGTCGCCGGCTCACGAAGATGCCCGAACATCAGTGGCGACCCCTTCGGCTTATTTCGTGCGCCGCCATTTTCGAACGCAACAGTGACAGGGAACACAGTTCGGTGCCATCGATACGAAGTTACGTCAATCGTAGAAAATTCAAGTTTAGAAAGTGTAAATCGTTTCTTTTTGATAATTAGTAATTATGAAAAGCTACTACTTTATGGTGTGCGTGTTTTTTTGATGAAGATGGTGATTGATACGAGAAACTGATTGAAAAATCATTGGATGAAGTTATTCCATTGGTAAGTCATGGCATCGTATAAAATTTTCGTTCTTCGTTTAAAAATTCTTTTTCCCCAATTGAAATATTAATTTAAATTAATGATCAAACGAGTATTTGAATTTGAATTTATATTTCAAAGGTGAAATTTGAATATATATTCCATTTATCCATAATATATATGTCTTAATATACGATTTATTATAATTTACATTTATTATTTAAAAAATTAAATACATATAGTTTATGGAACATAGAATATTTCGATTTTAATCTTGAATTAAATTTGAAATCTGTATTAATGTATATCGAATATCTACAATTGATCAAGACAATTCTGTGTCGATAAAACAGTGCAATGACAATATCAACAGTTGCCTTTATAAGTTAACATTGACTTTTTTACCTTTATAATTTTACCTTTGAACAAAAGATGTCAAAATGGTAGTCTTTGAAACAATATTATTGATAGATGATATCGATATTTATCGAATTTTCTTGAACGATGTTAAATAAACAACGAAAGTTGATTTTCATTTTTGACATAATCGTTTCGTCAACATAGAAAAAAAAACTATATTAAATGAGATCATTGTCGACAAAAATATATGCATTAATATAGATCTTTGCTCAAAAACTTATTATTTCAATATTCTATCATGCACAAATTATCTAGACAATTTGCAAAATTATTACTACGAATAAAAAAGCTAGTGTTTCTTTCTGAGATATCTAATTTATTTCTGTATACCTATTTTGTCAGAATACGATAGTTAGTAACGATTTATAATTAACCTCGTGTTCATATATGAGTTATAACAAAGCTCACTGTTAATTAAACAGAAAAAGATAATGTCTATAGTTATATATATCAACAAGGTGCAACAAAGTAAAATATACAATAAAAATAGCCTTGATAAACATTTGTTTAGAAATTTTTAAAGTAAAGGTAATTACACGTAGATCGTAGAAATTAAACTATTTTCAATATTTCTACATTTCTCTCATAGAGATATAACTAAATACAAAAATATTATTATTATTTCGTAATCCCATATCATTTTTCTTTTCCTTTTTTCCTATAAAACAAAACGTACATATTTACTTATCGAATAGAGAATATTTAATATTCACGCGATATTATCATATCGAAACTATTTTACATTAATACCCGTCTAATATTATTACATCGAATTAAAATATCCGAAAATCCTAGCCACCGTAATCGATCAAGCGTTATTATTTGATCAAGTGCAAATTAATTAGCGCGATAATCAAAGCAACAATTTCTCCCCTCCTTTCCTCATTCCGAGGAATTCACATTATCAACGAGGATCCCCTTTCTTCGGCCGTATGTCCGATCGGATTCCAGGCGGAACAAGGGTGACACGGTGAACGAAAGAGACGCAGGACCTTATCAATATTATCACTGGGTGGCGAGGGGATACGATAGGGCGGTGTAATCGGGTGGTGAGTGACGTTGGTGGGGACGGCTCGTCGACGACGCAGGCGCCGTACACGATCCCCCTAACGTACCCATCGTCGCCGGCGTCGTCTTCGTCGTCGTCGTCGTCGCCGTCGCCGAGAGAGACGTCGGCCCGTCGTCGTGCCTCCTCGTGTTTTTCAGTTCCGACCGTACGACGGCGACTAACGAGACAAACGGAAAAATTTTTCTTCGAAGGAAGGATATATAAATATATATACACATATATATACATATATATACATATATATATGTATATATATATTCGTCTCCCTTCCGGTATTTTGCTCGGCACGCGGCCTCGAGATGCCTCTTCGCCGGTAGACGCACTTAAAACCAAAGGTGGGAAGCACGCGGGAAAGCAACAGTGTTTAGCAATACAAACCCGTGGATACGGTGCCGGTATCACGTTCCAGGAATTCTCGTCGATGGAAGTATGTTCTATTAGTAAATATCGGGATATACGTTGGAACACAGAGTGACGCAGGAGTTTCGATTTTGGACCTGGAAGGCGTGGTGGCTCCGCAGAAGGATGTAGTTTGTTGCTCGGACGAGGAGCGTGGCAAAGGATACGCGAACGAAAGATTTGTTTGTTATTACGTTTACTTTTTTGTTTTGTGCGAGAAATGAGAAACGCAAGCGTTGTCCTCGTGACGAGGCAAAAGGAAGGTCGTTAGAAGTCAGTGTTTCCCGTGGGCAGTGTCGGTGGCCGTCGCCAACAGGTTACAGGAGTCGATGAATATTTCGAGAAATATCGA